CTACTTCAAGATTTAGGAAAGAAGAAAAAAAAATGCCTCATATCTTCGACTTAACTTGCTAAGGGAGCATGTTACCTTATCTCTCTAATCAGTCTCTTTTTATCTTTTTTTTTATCTTTTTTTGTTATTTTTATATTTTCATGAAATAGGGGCATTTTCCTTCAAGTTGATCTTTTCCATATCCATTGTGATTTTTCATTGGGAATACCAAACGTTAAGGGGAGTAATGGATGGGATAAGACAAATTTGATGGTCACGGGATAAAACAAGAAAACAAGGATGTCAAATGAAAATGTATGGTTACAACATTAACAAAGTTAAACAAGATTATTTCCAGTGATAGAGTTTGACCATACAAACATTATGCAATGAAGATAAGACATGTTAGAAACAATATCTTTGAACTCTCTCTTTAATGGTGAATGACCTTGTTGATGAATGTGATATTTGGGCTTGATTTCTTTATCTCCCCTCTTTATTTTTAACCTCACAACTTGATCAGGAAAACTTTGCACCCCAAGTGAATGCTAGCATCCACACGTACCATATCATTTTTGACGATCAAGGGTGTGAAAGTATATTGTGAAATGTTGATGTGTTTTGAATGGATGAGATAATAGCAATAGGCAAGGAGTGAGAAAATGACTGGCATCGTGGCAAGTAAGGTGGGGGACCATGACCTTCCTATGTAAAGGACCTAAAATCCAATATTTCAAAATTTTCAAGGTCTTTTTATCATGGCATGTGATAGAAAAATGCATGGATGCAAATGCATCTATTTGCTATGTATGGCCTTGCTCTAATGGATGATTATTGTGGAATCAAGTGGGGGTTGAGATGAAAAGATATATCAATCTATTTATTTACAATTTTGCATTGGTGTAGGGGACCAATTTGAAAGAATTTTGAATCTCACTCAGAGACATAGAGTTTGTGATTGAATTGAAAGAATTTCGAACATCATTTCCATTGTTGTCTTATTAGTAATAAGGGTTAAATAAGCAAGTGTGCTTACTTGTGCCTTGAACCTTTATGCTAAGGAAAGCACAAAATGATTCAGCAATTCCTATAAAAAGAGTTTAGGTATTAAAAATATTATAATTTTGCACATTCTCTTAAGTGATTACAAGGCTATCTCATTTATGCCAAACAAAATTTCCTTTCCTCCATATGCGTATTGCATCATAAGGAAATGGAAACGACTATTAACCTACAAGGGACCAAAATCCCTACATGATTAAAGTCATGAAAGTAATAGCCTCATAATTTGTTATTGTTTTTTTTAAGTGATTACAAGGCCATCTCATTTATGCCAAACAAAATTTCCTTTCCTCCATATGCTTATTGCATCATAGGGAAATAGAAAATAACTATTAACCTACAAGAGACCAGAATCCTTATATGATTAAAGTCATGAGTGTAATAGCCTTATAACTTATTATTATTGTTTTTTTTAAGGGAGGAAAAAAAATTAAGGGTTGTTGATTTTCAGACATTTATGTACAAGAGTCAACTAATTCTTGTTAAATAAAGCTTAACTTATCATTTGGGAATGAGAAGTTTCCAATCTCCTCCAAGTGCTTATTGCACTATAAGGAGAAAGGATTAACAATTAGCCTATGAATAGTCAAAACTAATACATGGCTAATGTTTTACTTTCAAAATGAAATGTGTTATTTTACCCTACAACAAGAGAAGTTGTTTAACGGGAATTAGCTAACAAAATGCATCAACTCTTCAATGTTAGGAATTTATAGTCACTGAGGTCAAAGACCCATGGACAAAGCTTAGTTATTTAATGCTAGTGCCATCCTTGTGACATATTAACATTGATTAGTGTAATGACATTCAATATCCGCTCTAGCATAAGGTACCCAAAAGCTGTTTTCCTTAAGGTAGTATGCATAAATGATATGTTATGATGATGATAATGATGTAATAAAACATGCTCTCATTTTGTGTCCTATTTAAGGAAGCTTAAGTCTGTTTATCTTTGTAATCATCAGGTATGAGCTAAAATGGTTGGCTACTAGCTTTTATCTAAAACGTGTAGCTCTAGAGTAGATTCATAGTCCTGATAGATAAAAGGTTTCCAAAATGCCCTCACCCCATGGTGAAGACCTTACTTAGTAATTTTGACCCTCCGAGAACATAAGCTCTACAGGGACCGAATTTACTGAGTAGTAACAGCTTGGGCGAGGTATTCATGGTAACCTCTAAGGGTTCAAAAACTCAATAGGGAAACCATTACTAACCTCTACTAACCTATGGTACTCACAGACCCGGGTATAGGGCCCAAAATATGTGTGTGTCAAATTGTGTAAGTGCACAGTGTGTGAGAAGAGCATGCAAGCATGTTATCTTATTCCCATATGCTACCCAACCTTCAACTGTTAATCAGGTCAAACACAGAGACAGATATATGTACAAATAAAAGTCTTCTATCCTTGGATTTGTTCCACATGTTAACTATCCTAAGACATGTTATAAAAAAATAAAAAGAGAGAGAAAAGAGAAAAGAGGGGAAAAAGGCACACACAAATTAAAAGGGGTAATAATAATAAAAAGAAAAACCATATCATATTTTGAGCACAACAAACTTATATAGGCTTGACTCTCTAACCTGTCCCCAGCGGAGTTGCCAACTGTCGCGCCTGGAAAAATGCGAGCATGGGGAAGGTGGGAACTGCATCAAACGAGGAGTCGCCACCAAGATTTTAAGATAAATCTCGGAAAACCAATTAATGGAAGGATGAGGGTGGTCTGTGAAATCAGAGAATAGGTTCGGGAGTCGGTTGAGCGTGGGGAAGGTGTTAGGCACCCCACAACACCCGTTCGTCAAAACGATTAACTGAAGTTTGTTGTGCTCTATTAATATGGTTTTATAATTATTTTAATTATCCCTTTTATATTCATGTGTTTAATAAAAATGATAAGAATTAGGTGAGAAATATTTATTTATTTATGAGAGAGGATGGACTTGATCAGAATCTGACTCTGAGGCCTATGTACCCTGAGATGGGGATCAAAGTCCACGTAGTTTGGGCTTGAAAGTTGTTGGTGAAAATATATTTTTTTTGAAGAGAAATTAATTAGAAATAACTCACCATCTTGCAAATAAACAATTTCTGAAATTTTGATATGTGTGTTCTAAATTGCAAGAACAAATTTAATTTAATTTGTTTTCTCAATTTTTGAATTTTGAATTAAAGAAAAGAAAAGGGTTTAAAATTATTTTTTATATATTTTGCAATTGGGAATTTAATCGCAGTACCTGTAGAGCCTTATTAGTTCACACGGTAATGCAATTGCTCTAAATATCTGCGGAGATTCTGAAATCTCACGCGATAAAAGAGTTTGGCCATTTAATTTATTTATTTATATTATTATGTATATTTTTAAGTGTTAATAATAATTTTAAGTGTGTATATATATGTTTCAAAGAAACTTAATCATCATACCTGTAAAGCCTTATTGGCTTATACGGTAATATGATTATCCTAAATATCTGCGAAGATTCTAAAATCTCACACGATAAAGGAATTAAATTTAAATACATTTTTAACGTGATTATTTTAATACATAATTTATATATATATATATTAAAAACTTAATTATTATATCTGTAGAGTCTTATTGACTCATACGATAATACGATGATCTTAGAAGCCTACGAAGATTCAAAAATCTCACATGACTAAAAGACATAATCGGTAAATGTGGTTACAAGTTAAACGCATTAATTTGGTTAATTAATGTTTTAAATTGTGTATTATATGATTATTTACAAATATCATTTACTATATATATTGAGAACCACTATATCTGCGACGACTTATTATCTCACACGATAATGTGATTAATTTAAGTCTCTATAAAGATTCTTAAAATCTCACATGAGACTTAAATAAATTATTAATTTAGATTATAAAAGGAAAGTTAATTTTAATATATAAGTTTTGCTCTCATATCTGCGAAATCTTATTGATTTACACGACACGAGATTATCTTGAATATCTGCAGAGATTTAAAGTCTCATACGATAGAAGGATTAAATAATATCACTTTAAATATATTTTAATGCATAATTATACGACGCATATTTTTGAATATAAAACTCTTAATTGTTATACCTGCGAAGTCTTATTAACTCACGCGATAGTACGATTATCCTAAAGGTCTTCGAAGTTTCAAAAACCTCACATGACCTGATTGGTAAATATAATTATAATTTAAATTCATTAATTTAATTAATTAAAATTATAAAAATGTCTTTTATTTTATTTACAAAATCCATTTATTTATTTACCATATAAATTTTGAATCACGATATCTGCGAGGACTTATTATCCTACACGATAATGTGATTGATTTAAATCTCTACAAAGATTCTTGAAATCTCACATGAGACTTAAATATTTATTATAAAGAGAGAATTAATTTCAATAATGGGCCTTTGAAGCCCATATAATACCTGCAAAATTGATTCTCATACCTGCAGAATTTTATTGATTTACATGGTATGGAACCATTCTCAATGCAGATTCTTAAAATCTCACATGACAAATAAGCCATAAATATATATATATATATATATATATCTCTTCTCTTTTTATACTTTAGCCTCTTATAAGGAAATCATGACAACATATGAAAATAGAAAACACCATGAAGTATTACGCATGAATAAATTTCCACAAATGAACAAAGGTTAATATAAGAATCAACCCAGGCCATCACACGTTACATTTTTCTAAAACATAGTAATTAAAAAGAGTGAAAGGCAATTTGAAAATCAACCATGCAAAACTAAACGTACCTAGATTAGACACGTTGGATATCTTATTATACAAACCATCACAAGTTTATTTTGCAGACACCAACATCACAGGATGAAGAACTTGTCAAATTTTTAAAATTAGTAGACAAACTTGGTGATTAATTTTCAAGTATCAATAATCTCAAAACTTGAATATAACTATGCCCTTGGACCATTAAGAGACACAAGATTATACCTGATATTTTATAAATAACTAGTTAAGGACTCATGCAAACTTATGCCCACTATAAAATCTTGGAAAGGAAAGGAGAAAAGAGAACAATATTATTCAAGCCATAGCCTTTATCTTTTAACAGTTATCTCCAATCAGCTTTTTTCTTTTTTTTTTCTCTTCATCTTCTTCTCCCTCTTGCGCTTGCAATCCAGCAACGTGTCTGGCATTTTCTCTGGGGCTTGGAGAGAGACCAGAGGTAGAGAATGTGGTGACAATGGAAGTCACCGGGGGCAAGGACCACTGCTCACCACAGCCAGTGTTAACCCACCGTTTGGTGTAGATCAGCTCCCAAAGCCGCTCATCCAGCATCGTCTTGTGCCACTGCTTGCTCACACAAGCCGCCATGACCAACGTCCTCACGTCCACGAGCTTCAACACCTTGAACAGCAGATTATCGTTGAAATACACAGAAGAACTAGAGTTTCTAGCAGCCCAATAGTCAGCCCGCTCACTGACATCCACCATCTTCAGCTTTTTATCTTGTCATCATCATGGGCATACGGACGCTTCATCTCTAAGCCTGCTCCTGCTGGTTTTTCGAAGACATCACGTCCACCTCTGTTTTTACGTTCTTGGTCCTCTCTTTTGCTCTGTTTCTGTGCTCTTCTTGCTCGGTTTCTCCTCTTCGGTTTCCTGTTTCTCTCAGTCTCATCTTGATACTCTGTTTTTGCTTCCTTCTCGATCCATTCTCGGTCTCTCCCTCTCAATTTTCTCCTCTCCTTTTTCTGTTTTTTTCTTCTGTCCTTTATCGCTGAAGCTTCCTCGGTTTTGTGCTCTCATTCTAGTGCTCTCTTTTTCTATTTTTTTTGCATTTCGTTTCTCTCCCTTTGTACTCTGTTTTTCTTCCGGTTTCTCGTCCTCCCCCGTCTCTGGCTCTGTTCTCTCTTTTTATCCTCGGTTTTGGTCTTCTCGTCACCTCCTCTCAGCCTCTATTTTCTTTTAATTTTTCTGTCCTGTAATGTGCATCTCTTGTCTGCAAAGTGAAGCTTCTCATGTGTTTTCATCTGCTGCCTCTATGCATGCATCTCGGTTCTGTGTCTTTTCTTTTGCTGGCCGAAAGTGTGTGTACGTGTTCTTTCACTTTTCTCTTCCGCCGTGCACGTCTCTGGTCTTGTTGTTTTCTGATTGTGTGTTTCATGCATTCTCCTCTGTGCTGTGGCTCTGGTTTCGTGTGTTCACTGTGCACGCAAGCTTGATCTTGTTTTTTCTTTCTGGCATTTTGTGACTGTGTGTGCTTGCTTCGTGAAGCTTTTACGCCTGGTTGAAAGTTGTTTCCCAGCTACCAGCGTTTTTTGCCATTCTTTTTAATGCTTCTTTTTTTTAATTAGATTAAAGGAGAGAAAGGAAAATTTAATTTTAATATATATATATATATATAGTTAAATAGAGAACAAAAAGATTTAAAGAGAAAAATTTAAAAATATTTAAGTCTAAAAAAAATTGATTTTTAATATCTTTAAATAGTTGGGATGATTTAGGAGAGATTTTAAAAGACTTAAACAAGATTTTTTTAATTTTGTTAAAATTATTTTTTTAAATATAATCCTAAAAAGGATTAAATTTAATTTTGTATTTATATATATATATTTTTGGTTATTTATTATTAAATTTAAAAAAATCCAGACAAAATACGGTGTTCACATGCATTGTACTTTTTTATTTTCCATGAGTTGTTTGGAAATTTTATTTTTGTTAACTTCTATCTAACATCTTTTTAATTTGATTCATTTAACGAGTTTTCTTTTCTAAATTGTGAGTTCTTTTTTTTAAAAAAAAAGAAAAGGGACCATGCACGGAGTTTTTTTTTTTTAATCTATTGATGTATTTGTAATCTTGTATCATCATTGATGTACTAGGTAGGTTGTAATTGTTTCTTTTAACAATGTCCAAATTGCTTTGTTTGCTTATTGCTTTATCCAAATGGTTTTATTCTCCTACAATTCTAGTCTAACCATTATTTACTTTTGGAAAATGTAATTTAGATGCTCAACACACTCCCTCAATTGTTGGAGATATTTGCTCAAGTTTTAGTTGTTGGAAATTATATCCTAGAACTAATCATTGTACTATGCATATTGTTATTTAATAAATTTCTTTTTTGTTATCATAGCAATTGTATGTTTACTATGATAACTATATTTTTAAACAAACTATAGTTATTGTCCTAAATATCCCTAGTCGGTCATTTACGAGGGATCATAGATGAAACAAGATTAGTATGATTTTGATTAATTAAAAAGATACAAATCAAAGTCATAGGCACTTGAAAGAGTACAAGGTATTGGATCGACACGCTGTGAGAAAGCTATATAGTATAAATCATAAGCTTATCTCATATGTAACCATATATCACTAAGTCCTTTGACTTGAGATCATCATGGATTCCTACATGATGACTACTGAACTTTGATCTAGTTAAAAGTCACCTTTGACCAAGTGATCATAAAAGATATGATTAAGTTTAGAGATATTCATGCAGAGGAATATTAGTGGTCAAGATGAAATTTATCCCTCACATTAAGTGAAAGATATTACTAGACCCCTTCATAAGTAAGATTGAGAAAATGTATGGACATACTATAATGGAATGGATTTTTTCTTTCATTGCTACAGTCAGTCCACTCAGAGATCAAGAAAGTAATGGTCAGGTAAAGGAGAATGACAATTTCATGTCTCACACTTGATTGAAATATCGTGTGACAACAGTGATGTGATACGGTTATATGATAGGTTACATCAAATCATTGATCTACATATGAATTGGGTAGTCGCAATGTTTTGTTAAAGGCCACTTGTGACTTGTGAGCTAATAGCATAATTAGCCTACTGCCAATTTCATATGGGCCTATAGGATCGCACACAAAAATAGCCTAACTCGAGCTATAATGTCCAAGTTCATTAAATCTGGAATATGTATAAATTCAATTAATATAATATAGGGTGAATGAATTATATATATATTTGAATATTTATTTTATATATATATATATGAAATATAAAATTCAAAATATAATTTTATGTATATATATGTATATTTTTTAAAATATATATATATATATATATATTCATGTGTGTGTGTGTGTGTATCTGATACACACACACATATATATGTATTTATGTATGTATAGGTATATGATATATAAAATTAAATATATATATATATAACATAATATATATATTCAAAAAATATATATGTGTATATATTCATATATATATAATATAATATGTACATATTATATTATATTATATTGTATTAGTTTTAAATTTAATTTTATATAATAGATTAAATTTAATAACTCACATAATATGAAAGAATATCATATCAGTTTTATAATTTGAATTTATAAGATAAATTTAAATTAGATATGATATTATAAATTTTATTTATGAGATAAATTTAATCCAAATTTCAGTTGGCTCTTCAAAAGGAAGGTAAAAATTTTAATCTATATATAATAAATACAAGGGGATGTGCAAAGATAGAGAGTTAGAAAAGTTCTGACGGTCAAATACTTGGAGAGCCAAAAAACACCCTAGAAAAAGAAAAACCAACATTCAAAGAAGAATGAATATTGGGAGCATTAACATGCTGTTTGATTTAAAGAGTTGTTTGTGTGGATATCGGTAGAGGGAACAGATCTACATTGTCAACATGTGAGATCCAAACTCTTAAAAAGAACACATGTCAAGTTTGAAGAATTAAAATATAACTCTTTTACCCACCTTGATTTTAATGAGTTCGTTCGGTCCATATCAAAATAAAAATTTTAAAATTTTAATTTTCTGCTTCGTCTCCCTATCTAACATTAGTTTCTCCTATTGAGTCTCGAGAAACCAAAGGCATTGTACTTAGAGCATGGCATCGGTTGAATCGCTTCCTCCGTCCAGATGAAATTGAAAAGGTTCTGGACAATCTCCCTGCCATTGAGAAAAATGTATTGATGGATCAAATGATCTCTATTGACTAGTGTTTTTGATGTGACGTTTCTTGCTTTCTGGACTTATGCTTGTAGCTTTTGGGGGGCTTGTATTAAAACAAAAAACAAAAAAAGAAATCATGCTCCATATTTTGGTGGCTACTCTTTGTATTTTATGTTGTGGTTTGGGTTTGACTAATAGAACGATTTGATACCAGCCCACAACAGCAAAAGTACATAAAACATGAAGTTTTTTTGTCATCATTTAAATATTTTAATATTCAAGTATATTTATGTTGATCAAAGTGGTTCAAAAATATCATGTTTTGGTTAAGTTTTAACTATAAATAAGAAGTTTTTTTTTTTGCCAGTATATAAACATGAAGTTTATTAACTTAATTTGAACTTTGTTAAGTGTCTAGCTGATTTTTGAACAAATAATTGGCAGAAAGATCGCATTTCATCTCGAACAATACTGTTAATTGATAATGTACGATAGATGAGATTTTTTTTGGGGGGGGCGGGGGAAGAGAAATATTATAATAACCAAGTACATAAGGAAACAATAAAAAAGACAATAACCTAATGATGCTACCCGCGCTTTGACGACATTTCCACTGGTGGCATTTTTTGGCAACAGCATTGCATGACAATCACTGGTGCAAAGTTTTTTAACAAATACGTAGTCTATTTCTATTTTCGCCAGCACCCACCAAGTAATTAATCTACTTCTATGCATAACAATATAATAATACTGTCCAAAATATTATAATAGAAATTGAGGAGGAATTTAATACATTCATATATTTAATATGTGTATCATATTTTTTGAACAATTAAAATCTATTTTAATTCAATTATTTAAATATTTTTATATATGAGTATTTTAAATATACTAGGGCAGTGTAGAATAGAATATTCACATATGACATGTTTATGCATATATGTCATTTCATCGAATATTTAATAAGTATAAGCAATAAAATAAAAGTTCAATTTGAAGATCTTTGTCTTCAACTACTTCTTGAACATTAGAAGTGAAAGATCTAGCTTAGTTAATATTTCAGATGAATATTAATAATAAAGTAATAGTGATAAATATTATTTAAAAAATACAAATAACATTGTCACTAACCCAAGACAACCTACAATAATATCTAAGAAATATAATGCAATATGTTATAGAGTCATGAAAGACTTGGTATGAACCAAACTGGATATGGCACCTCATTGAAGCTTGATCTTTCAAATGTATAGTAATCAACCATTCTATCTGTCCTACAATGCCTCCCAATTCTCAAGCCTTTCCATTCATCTATGATACCCTTAACACATGGAAAATGATAGGCAAAATAGATACAATTTCCTTTGATAAACTCTTTAGGGCATTGAAGAGAAACATTTGACACCACAAAACTTTTCCAAAACCCAATAAACAACATGCGATTTCTCAAGTTTTTAACTTCTATCCATCTAGGTTCTTTATTCATGTCTAACTTAAACACTCGACTATCTACAATTTTGGGTGGATTGGTATACTCCTTTCCTACCGTATCATTAAGCATTCTCTTGAACCTAAAGATTGAGTTGCAAACCAAATAAATAAGGAATAACTCTCCTGATGAAGAGTCAACTGCCAAAGTCTTAAGAATGTCACCTTGAGCTTCCCAAGCATTAATAATGCCACCATCACCATCATAAGGGAAGTCTTGGGTACTCGTTTTCAATCTCATTGTGGCAAATCCTATTTCAGGAAGCCTTGCTAATATTCTGGGTTTTACAGGTTCTCTTCGCAAATCATAAAAAACTATAGAATTTAATACTGAGTGTGTCAAAGCATACAATTTACCATCAATAATCTCTACGTGCAAGAATGTCAATGCTGTAGACACATATTCTTGAACGATAGTCCATGACTCATTAGAAATCCAACTAAATGCAAACACAAATTGACAATAAAAGAGACACACCACAACACAGTTTGGGTCATTGGGTTCCGTTGATGCCACAATATTCTTAATTTTACTTTTCACTTTTAACCTTGATGACATATAGACCTTAGCATTTGTTACCAGGTTGAAGAAGAAGATTAGTGCATCAATTTCTTGAACTTCATCAAAAGAATTGTTGATAGATTCAACCATGATCATCCAAACTCTTATTGTGCCATAGCAATGATGGAAGAATTCATGGGGAAACCCTGTGGAGTTGAAGACTCTTCCTCTAGGCAAGTCAAAGAAGGGAAGATTTTTCATCTCCATTGTTTGGAGAAAAAGAAGTGGCAGTTCTGGTGATGGAAGACAATGTTTGTTAGCAATGCATTTATCGACTGTAGATCTCCAATTAGAGCATACAGCTAGGGTTTGAAGGTAATCAATGATCCCTAAGTGTTTTAGAATGAAACCCAAGACATCATCTCCAATTTGTGACCATTTGTTGCAAAGGCTTCCTTCTTCTTCAATGTTCATTTCTCTTTTCTCATCACCATCACCATCATCTAGAATCTGCAACCTTTTGCTAGTGCTACTTCCTCCTTCATTAACGTTCTTTACTCTCTCATCACCATCTTCAATATCTGCATTTTCATTGTTGTTGCTTCCATCTCCATTATTGTTCTTCACTTTTCTCTCATCATCATCATCATCATATGCAATTTGCACTTTTCTGTTGCCACTACTTCGTTTTATTACTCTTCCCTCATTGTCATCATCTGCATGATGTTCCTTTTTGTCGTTGCTTTGTTCTTCTTCTTTGCTATTCATTATACTTTAAAAGACAGTTACTTAGAAAAATACGGGAAAACAACGTAGTATATATAATTAATGGTTTTGTTCATTTGAGAAAATCATTTTTCTTTATGCACATGTGAGCAAGGATTTAAACTAACCAATGAGTCCTTCCTACAAGTAAAGCATAAATAATTTCATTCCTTGTGAGTTGGGCAAATCAATCAAACTATGTTTGTAATCATATCATTCACATGAAAGAACCTAATTTAATTTACAGATCATAAATGCTTCGAGAGAGACCTTGGGTAAAGAAGGTAAACAAGTATAATTACCAAGTCAGGAGATGTTCTATGACTGGCCATATACACTCGATCCATGTTAGTTTCTTGCCACTACTTTCTTCTTGTGTGCTGTTCATTATGCTAGAAAAAAGAGATATAAAACATAAAAAAAAATATATTATAACTAAGGTTTGAGTTACGTAAAAAAATCAAAAGTTTTTGAACATGATTTGTGGGGTGGATTTAAATTAACAATTTATTTCTAAATTGTGATCACTTCCATAACTAAGCATATTTTAGTGGTACCAAGAAGCTCATCAAATTAGCATATGCAATACTCTCTTTCATCCTCAATATAAGACATCTCATAAAACCTTTATGTAATCTTTAATACAAAATATATTATAAAACTTGACGGTAATAATAAAGAATCATTTCTAAAAATGCCCACATATCAATTGGTCATACTTCATTGGGGTTGCCTGTTTGAATTTGACTTTAAGATTTAAAGACAAAGTTAATAATTTTAATTAACCATTTTTTTAGAAAAAAATCAAAACTCCTGACTAATTATAAACAACTTTTATTAATCCACGTAATTTAATTAAAAGCATCTTCTAAATAGGACCCGAAATGTATTTTATGTAGTCTTTTCTGAACATATAAAATTCATTTGTTTGAGAAACAAAAATCAAAGAAAATAAAGATGGCATAAAGATGCTTTGAAGAACAAAGAAAAGGTGATCGTGGGGGAGAAAGAACTAAGAACAGGCCCTGTGAGCAGCAGAGGAGCCTATGGATTCCACTAGATGTCAATTTCCGTTATATGAAGCAGAGATAAATGAAGACAGTTTTTTTTTTAGGAAAAAAAAAACTACAGGTCTAATCAAACTGCGTATAAATGCAATGTTTAGCACAGATCAGCGATGGTTTGATAGAGAGAATTGAAAGTCGGAAGAGAAGAAGGCAACAACAGATCATACCTTCTGCTTCTGGGTTGTCTCTCTGCCTTTGGATCTGCGGTTTCCTCTCCCCTTCCGTCTCTTTCACTCTCTCTTGTGATCCCCCCTCTCTCTCTCTTACCCAAAATATCTTCAACTCTTTCTAAAATCTTATTATTTATTTATACGGATCCGTCTTCCTTTGCTTTTTATTCAGCCAGGCAGAGTCATTTGAATTGGAAAAAGAAAGATAACCAGATTTTGTAAAATCATAACAGCATAATTATATATATATATATATATATTCTTATTTATTTGTTTCCGTTTTCAAAATTATTATTTATTTATTTATTTATTTTTAATTCATAAAAAAAATATCTTACATAATTTGTTTGTGTTTTTTTTATTATATTTAAATAATACGAAGATAGTTTTCTTATATTTTGATGCAAAATTTATTCAAAAAAACATTTGGCATAAAATGAGTGGACAGGTTCGTTCCATACCGCACGTTCCGTGGAGGAAGGGAAAGGTCGGAGATCCCAATAATGATGGGAGGGAAAATTATTGCTAAAAACCCGAAAAAATATTTATTAGAGATGATCTTAAAAATAATAATTATTGAGAATGACCAAATACTAAAATATAAATTTTAAAATATAAAATTGTTCCTAACTAAATCTTCTTTATTTTCTCTAACCACGTTTGAAAATTTAGTGTCTTGAAGATTCACAAATTTGAAAAAAAAGAGGAGTTAAATATCATCATCACGTGATCATCGAAGCAATTCATCGTAATGTTAAATAAGTCCTATAAAGATAAATTCACACTAAAAAAATCTTTTTAAATCAGTGGAAAAATAAAATGTAATAATTTTTTTAAAATATTTTAAAATTATATTGATTTAATATCTTAAAAGTAATGATTTTAAAATTATAATCAATTAATCATTTAAAAATTAATTATTTATTAAAATTTATTGATTTAATTAAATTTAATACTATTTTTTTTATTTATGTGAAATTGGAATAGGCACAACTTTATTCTTTAAAAAAAAATTATAACTTATGCAATACCATTAATTTTAAAATATTATTAATATGTTTTACATTAAAATTATAATAGTTAATTACAGTTATCCTGGTCCTTCAGTCTAATTTTAATTTTTATAATCTTTATGATAAATATTTTTTTCTCGGTCCCTAGCAATAATTTTCCCATGATGGGTATTGCAAAAATGAGGGGCCTCTCAACTTTCTTTTCAGTTGCCCCGCGCACACAAATGACGCATGTGAAAACTGAAAAATAAGAGAAAGTGGACTCCATTGATTCCTTCATCCTTCGCACTTTTTTCATCTTAATATTTGAAAAACTTAATCTAAATATTCTGTCTAAAATTGATAATTCGAATAGGCCATATTTAGGTTGACCTTATTCAAGTTGAGTTTATTTACATTTGGCTTAAAGTATCTTACCTATTTTAAAAAACTCACATAGTTAAACTCGATTTTAATAACTTCGGGTTTCAGGCTTAATATTCAAAACTTTTTAAAAATATTTTTTCTTTATTTTTTGAACCAATCTTAATTTTTAAATAATTATGTTAAATATAAAATATTATTTTAACTTTAAAAGAATAAAATAAAAAATAATAACTTATTAATTTTGTACTTAAGTAGCTCTATAATAGTTTTGTTGTATTATGTGTAACAACAACCATTTCCTGGTTAACAACATTACATTTAGACTTTAATAGGTAAAATATATGAAGTTTTAAAGTTTCCAACTTGTAATTAATCATATTAGATTAACAAGTAACATTAATAAAATAACAAGTGCCATTTTGAAATTAACAATATATCATTATGTTATAATATGAAATGGTTTAGAAACTTGAATTGCTACATTTTTTTTTGTCATATAATTAAAAGAGTTTGGTGGCCTTAGCCACAAGGTTCTTAGGTGGCCAAGAGGTTTGACGCTAAGGGGTTATGGGATCAAATCCCCCTTGGCCACCTTCACCAATTAAAAAGAAAAAAAAAGCCAAAGCTCAGGTGACTAGCTGCCAATGATAGGGTCTTCGACATTGATCTAGTGGTCGGTGTTGGTGGCAGTTGGGTGGCTTTTTTTATTTTATATTTTAAGGGTAATTTGGTCATTTCACATAAAAATTAGTATTAGTTAATGATCAAGGGGCTGTAGTAAAATTTTAGAATTTATTGGTCCTTGACCAATATAAATATGCTCCATTCATCTTTGATTGATATTTTTTCAATAATTAACTAACATTCACTTTTTATTATTCTAACCAAACAAAATAATATCTTATTTTTTATAAAATCTCTACAAAATAAATTACTTTCCATAAAATCTTAAAATGATCTAAAAATTACTTATTTTTTAATCTTAATAAAGAAGTCCTAAACTTTTAAAAATAATCAAAATTAAAAAAAAGTAGATTTCTAAAGTAACTTTTAAAAATAATATGATGTGATAGATGAGAAAGTGTGTTTTAAAAAAGTGAGATATATAAAAATATCATAAAACTTTATAATAATTAAATAACAAATCATTCTTATAGAGAAAAAATTAAAGATATTATAAAATTTTAAAAATTACTAGCTAATAATTATTTTTTATTATTGCAACCAAACATAAAATAATATCTACATTTTACAAAATCTTTACAAAACAAATCTCTTTTTATAAAGGATCTGTTTGTTTAAGATTAAAAACTAAGTGATTGTCAGATAGTTTGGAGATTTTATAAAAACAGAGATTTATTTTGTAGATTTTATAAAAAGCTACATTATTTTATGTTTGGTTACAATAATAACAAATAATTTTTAGTTAGTTAATTTTAAATTTTATGATTTCTTTCTTGATTTTTATTTTATAAAAATAATTTATTATTATATTATTTTATTAATAATAATATCTCTTTAAAATACTCTATCCCATTTATTAGATTATTTTCAAAAGTTACTCAAGGTAACTTCTTAAAATAATAAAAAATATACTAGTTTTTAGTTCCTGATTATTTTTAAAAATTTAAACAAACATAATAAAAGCTCACAAAAGATTTTTTTCTCAAAAAATAAGTGATTTGGTTTTTGTAAAATAGGCCAAAACAAATGAATTCAAAATCCCTAAATTATCTAAAAATAACTTATTTTTTAATCTTAAATATATAGGCTGAAAAATACTTTTAAAATTTATAAATATCTTGATTTAATAGACCCGCTTGTTTAAGATTAAAACATAAGTAATTCTTAGGTAGTTTAGATATTTTATTAAAATAGATTTATTTTACAGATATTTTATAAAAAGCAAACATTATTTTATATTTGGTTAGAATAATAAAAAAACTGATTATTAATTAGTTATTTTTAAATTTATGATACGGTCTTTGATTGCTGTTTTATAAAAATAATTTATTATTATATTATTTTAAAATTTTATGATATTTTTGCATACCTTACCTCTTTATAACACTCTTTCTCATCTACCAAATTATATTATTTCAAAAGCTACTCAAAGTAACTTCTTAAAATAATTTAATTTTTTTTCAAATTTAGATTATTTTTAAAATTTTAAACAAATAACATAAAAACTCACAAAATAATTTTTTTCAAAAAAAAAGTAATTTTTTCAAGAAATAAGCTAAAATAAATAGACCCAATAGTTTCACAGAAGGATTGATTTACAGCTTAAAAATTATTACGAATATAAAATTTGAGTTATGTTACTTAGCAAAAAAATTTTAGAGTTAAGTTTAAAGAATTTCTTCACCTTGAGCTTATTTAGGTTGCTCGAATAAATCAAAAAAATTTAGACCAAGTCCAAACTTGAATAGGCTTAACCCAATACCCGAATTCCTTTTTTATTATTAATAAAATAATATTAAAATAAAATAAAAGTTGACAATATTAATTTTTTAAAATTAAAATAAAACTTAGACAAACATAAAAAAAATTATTTTATAATTTGGATGTTCAGGTCAGTTCAAATAAACCTGACCTGTAAGTCCGATTTGCTTGAATTAGTGGCCCTTGTAAAAGCATGTGTAATTCAAGAAAAATGGGGCCACACAAGGCTTCTCTGTTGTCTGTCCTCCCCTCTAGATTTGGAAAATCATGAAAGGACTAATCCCGACAACGTAACTAAAGTTTGAATCCATTCCTTATTCTTTTATAATTATATTTTTATTGAAAAAAGATGGAAGGCATTGGAGGGTACTCCCAGAAAGATGAGACCACCCCAGTAGGATTCCTCCTCTCTTTTCCTATACGTACAGGTGAAGTTATGAATACTGAAGTCGTTGAACCTCCAACACAGAGGCATCCGTCGTTGTTTCTCTTATTTGTCACAAAGCATACTCCTCCATACAATTTGGAAAGCTAACAGTTTGGAAACCTTCTCCTCCGATTTGAGCTAAATGTCTCCATATTTAAAGAGTTCTTATAGAAGTATTTATAAATTATTTATTAATAAAATTTTCACATCGACTATAGAATTTGATCTTATCATCTCGTGGATTATGGACATACCAACTAGAGGAACTTTTATTGACAATATTATTGATTTTGATTTAAATAATGACTACTATAAAAAAATGACTAAAATGGAATCTTCAATTTAAATAATGTTTTTTTTTTTTTGAAGTGACTACTTTTCAATCTAGATGCAGAGCCCACCTTAATTTTGTCTATTTCCTTTGAGATAAATTATAGGCCTTAATGCTCTATATTCGGTAAATTATGTAATCAAGTAAATTGGTTTATTGAATTAAATATTAAATCCCAATGCTTGATCCTTTTGTGTTTTTGTGTAATATCCCAAAATTTTTAAGACCTAAGTTTCATTTAAAATAATATATATACATAATTAAATTAAAATTAAAAATAATTTGATAAACTTCTAGAGTTCGAATTCTATTAAATAAAAGATTGATTTTGTTTTATTTTTAATTATGAAAAAAATTCCTAAAGTTACCCCAGGCATTTGTGTTATAACAAAAAGATTTGGGCTCTTATAATTTTCCTCAACTTGTTAAGTTTGTTTATATATATATATATAAATTAGAACGCATGACTTAAAAATGAATCAAAGAAACAAAGAGCAAGAAATGAGAGAGTGAGGG